AAGCCAAAACGAAAGCGCTGCTGCAAGAAGCAGTATGGTTTCCCGGGATGGACAAGGCAGTGAAAGAAACAGTAGACAGCTGTTTGGCATGCCAGGCAAACTTACACATTAACCCAACAGAACCCATACAGTCACCACCCATGCCCGATCGTCCATGGGAGAAAGTTAAAGTTGACTTTTATGGGCCTCTCCCATCGGGACACTACGTGCTGGTAGTAATTGACTGTTATTCACGATTTCCTGAAGTGGAAACTCTGAAGTCCATTTCAGCTAAGAAGGTTATTCCTAAATTGGATTCTATATTTGCGAGGCACGGTATCCCTGCTCAGCTCACTTCTGATAATGGACCGCCATTCCAGGGGCATGAATTTAACCAATACATGACTGCCATGGGTATAAAACATTGCACCTCCACACCGTTATGGCCGCAAGGAAATGCAGAGGCTGAAGCATTCATGAAGCCTCTTGGCAAATGTATCAGGTCTGCACACTTGCAAAAGCGACCATGGCAGCAGGAACTCTCAAAGTTCTTACTTACATAAAGGCAAACCACACACTATACAACCAAAGTTCCCCCAGCACAACTTTTGTTCAATCGCAATATTCAAGGGAAATTGCCAACAATTACACCAACCCTAATAGTCAACAGACACAGCGAAGCACAGGCAAACCAAGGACAACAGAGAGATAAGGCAAAGCAATATGCAGATAAGAGACGCCATGCTCGACCAAGCAACATTAAAGTTGGTGACCAGGTTTTGGTGAAGCAGGGAAAGCGCAATAAGTTATCAACTAACTTTTCTCCCCAACCATATACGGTGACGGCCATCAAGGGGTCCAAGGTGGTAGCAGAAAATAAAGACCATCGGATCACCCGAAATTCTTCATTTTTTAGGAAACTTAATGAGGAAAAGCGGATGGCAGAAGAAGAAGACGACGAAATGCCGGTAGCTAGAACGAGAGGAAGTGAAGTAGAAAATGCCGGGGAGATACAGCAAGAGGAACAACATGATGGTTTGAGAAGATCAACAAGAAACTGCATGCCGGTTGAACATTATGGGTTACCTGTACATTCGTCAATAATAACTTGACAATATTATCAATATTATGAAACTTTAGATATATAGTTATGTTACATTAATTAAAAAAAAAAAAGAAAAAAAGTGATGTAGTGACTACGTCTCTATGACGTCACGGACATGATACGTCACTAGGACATAGGAGACATGAGCACGAAATGTGCTCGAACAGGAGATCAGTTTTGGAGATTAGGAACGAAGTAGTTTGTATTAAATATTATAGTTAGACAATAAAAGATAAAACACAACAAGCACTTGCCATTTTATATATTTACTGAGATTTGAATGGATCATCTGGTATGTACTTCTTATCCTTCAGGTATGATATTGCTAGGGATGACACATTCACTAACACTGCGAGTTTGATAAACCCCCTGACGTTCTCCGGGGTACCTAGGGGTTCTTTCAATATCTTTTTCGATAGCATCGACACACCAACTGCACCAGCTGTTAGAAGCACTGCGTTGTACACCTCGTTACCGACTTTCTTTTCTGAACTCATTTTGTTATATTATATGTCATGTTTAACTTACTCAAGTGAGTCAATGTTGGAGTCGCGGCTTTTCTCGATTGATACAGTGTCTGGTTCTGTCTTTGTTTCCAATGTCATTTCTTCTCGTTGGTTCATCTGGTATGTAATTAGTAGGGTGATGACTGCAACAGCCAGTCTAGCGATTGTTAACATGTTGGAACCTTCTTCCTTACTATCACCTTCCAACTGTTTTTTTTCTTCTCCTTGGCCAATTTTCTGATAGCTGCTAATCTTTTCCCTGCCTCGACTCTCTTCGGGACCTTCTTCTTCTCATTTGTTACTTGCGCCACCTCAGGTTTATCTGCCATTTATCTGTGAGATACCTCAGGTTTAACTTAGGGCTGATCTGGCAAGTTAACTTGAATTTACTGGCAAGGTAACTTGAATTTACTGGCAAGATAACTTGAATTTACTGGCAAGGCAACTTGAATTTACTGGCAAGACGCACGCTTCGCGTGGGCACTCCCTTTGGGAGTGTCCTCAAGTCCGACCTGATTGCTGGGTGATGCCCAGTGATTAGACGAATTGAATGTTTTTGGTTTTCAGTATTTTGTTCTGCGAGTTATTGGGATTGGTGTTTTAAACCTTTTTACCAATTTGTTGAAAGCGATTTTTAACCTAAGATTTTCAGATTTAAGTTTGTGGTTGTCGTCTTCCAACCTAGCGCGATCATCATCCAGTCCACAGCGGTGGTCATCTAGTTCTAGATAGTCGTCTTCCAATTTATGGTTATGCTCCATTAGCTTGTTGTAGTCTTCACCGGTTATTGTATGACTTTCGAGTCTGAGGTATTCTCTTATTTCAATTATGATATTCGTGTAGTCACTTGAGAATAATGTTTTGTACCCTTCTTCATTTAGCCTTTCCATCATGTTGTACTGAGCCTCGTCAGTCGTACCTGTTCCGCGAGGTGTTTTGAACTCAATGGCGAACCCTATGTACGTACCCCTTCTGTTAAGTATGGTTAAGTCGGTTTGTCCCTTCATGTAACCTTTCTCGTACACTCAACTCTCACAACACCGTCACTGAAATATTCACCAAGGCCAGCAACAGTTAGCGCTTCGGGGTGGTACTCCCTGACGTACTCCACCACCTGGAAGTGTAGGTCATCCTCATTAAGCAATACCATTTGGTTTGCAACTGGGTGGATAGGTGGTGGTGACTCTTTAGCGACAAACTGCTTTCTCTGTTGGAGGAAGTATGTGCCGGTTTTCCTAATGGAAGGTAAGACTTCCTCAAAGACCCACTCCTGAAATTTCACTGCAGACTTTAACTTCGACTTGAAGATGAGTTGGTACACACCCTGTTCGGATAGATAAATGGTGTTTGGTTGATTGTTAGGAGTGGGTAACGAGTTGTTACCCCCTTTCAAAGGGAACTGTGATTTGCCCTCCCCCATCAGACCCTGCATCTTGGGCTTATCGAAATTATGTCGTAGATCCTTTGTACCACTGCTACTGTCTCATCCTGGAACTTCTGCAGTGTCTCCTAAGTTTTCCCCAGGGCTTCCTCCAGTTTCACTATGGCTTCCTCATATTTCTCTGTTTTTTTCCAGCAGCTCCTCTATCACGTGCTCGTACTCTATGCATTCCCATGGTTTCCCGCAGTTTAATGTTTCTCCGAGCTGAGGCATCTCTATGTAATAACTTATGTTTTAGCTTTGTTTTGAGTTTACAATATCTTCCGTGTGGGTACCCGATTCGGGTTCCAGTTCCTTCGTATCTGATTTCCATTTATAGTATACTACATGTTTTGCTTGTTGTGCATCCACCTGAGATCAGTCCTATGAAGGGAATGTGTGGTGATATCATTCTGGTGAGTGAGGTCACGTCCGCTTTGAGCAACTCGTCTGCAAGCAGTTCCTCAGATAATCTGTCTGCACTTTCCACTGCATCTAACCCACCTAGCACACTCGCGAACTTTGAGATGATAAGCACTGTCACGAAGTCGCTTGCCTTTCCAAACCTTTCTGACTCGTACTTGGAATACAACCTTTCCACGGTTTTCTTATTCGCCTTTTTCAAGAATGCGGGCTTCTTTTCGATTAACTCGTTTTTGGATAATTGAATCAGTTTCTACCGCTTTTTGTCCAGCGGGGCATTCTTATCTTTCAGTGGGATGGATGCGGTTTGGACATTCTTGTTTGCGGCTTCCATGACTTCATCGTCCAACGTAACTCCGGTTCGGAGTTACTCTGTATTTTTCCGATCCCCATATATTATTGGCGGTGTTTAATTATTCTATATCCATATGGATGTTTTAGCAGTATGTCCAGTGCGGAGTACTTCTCATTTCTCAGGAATCGCGTTATTTTTGTGACACCCTCTTGCGGTACTCCATTTAGGTAATCGTCAGTTATTACCTTCATGTCTTTTCTGCTGGGGTTGTAGAAGGTGACCTGTCTGCTAATATTTTCTCTGAATGGTTTCGCTATTGTGTGAGTACTACCACAGATAATCCGTAATGTCTCGCGGAGAATGCGAGTTTAACCAATTCTGATAATCTTTGCTTGACGGCTTGACTGCACGCACAATCGTCAACTACTATTAACGTGTTAGTTCCCCTGAATATAGTGGCAATCGCCTGTAATACATTGTTCATTAGTTCCTGTGAACAGGATATTATGATTACACCGTAGTCGTTGAGGTGTGACCATGTGATGTAGGTTGTGTTCCACTCAATTGTTGGACATATAATAATAATGTAGTCGAAAACTTGGTGGTATTCCCTCTCAATCAGGTTGAGGAGAAATTGTGTCATACCACTCCCAGTCATATCAACTAGTAGCATGTTGAAAGGCGGTTGAGGTGCCATCTCTATGTGTTACCCGGCCCTGGGTGAAACAAGCTTGTTTCACTTTAGGCATTCCCTCAGGGATACCTTCAGTATTGAGTTGAGCTTAAATGTTGCTCTCTTTGTGATCTCCAACAGGACTCCACTTTGGGTGTTCACGATCTTTTTACCATCTCCTGTGGTATCATCTTGGGTTGACCTCAGGTCTATCACAAGTGCGAACCCGTTCCCGTAAAACCTGACGACTGACATAAATTCGTCGGCCATCGATTTTTCACACATCGGACAGAAAAACCTCTTTGCCTCTTCGAAAAACTGGCTCTTTGGAAGTCGCTGTGAAAACACTGAGTTTGGCACACCTTCAATGGTCAGCTTGACTTTGTCAATGTTGAGGTAAAGGTACTCTTCTGAGTCAGTTCTCACTTGGTTGGTAAACAGTAGGACAATAGCACACATACTCTTCCTAGGAATGTTGATGTTTTCATTGACGATGGTAAGGTCCTTGTCCCAATTACTGGTGCTCATTAGTGTAACATGTTTGTACGACAGACTTCTACCATAGGTGTACTTGCTTGAAATTTCACTGGCTAGGGAGTCGTTCTCAATGGTATCATACTCTAACTCAAGGTTTTCCAGTTTGTACCCATCAACTTTTTGACCACCTTGCGCCACCATTGTTTCAGATGCTTCTGGGAGTATTAGGATGTACATTGGATTGTTATTCATGGTAAAGGGAGTGTAAAGTCCGTGGTCACCTATGATCTTATCGATTGGCTTTTTCAGCTTAGTGCCATAAATTGATTGAACTAGTGCGTCTGCCACTTTACCGCTGTCACCTACCTTTACAGCTGAGTCGTCCCCTGAGAATAACTTGCGTAGGTTTTTATTTGCTAATCCCTGCTCTATCATCTTCTTCCTGTCTCCAACTGTGAGCAATAGGTCCTTGTACACTTCAAACAGACTTTCACCTGAGCAGTCATAGGCTGTTTCCCCTGCCACTTTTATTTGTAACCGTTTGGTTAAAAGTTTCGATAGGTTGTTCATGAAGCGGCTTTTAGTGTTTAAGTTCTTGAAGTCAAACAGGAGATTTAACGATCCGGGGACTAGACAACTTGATGGCTTGAGTTTAGGTATGTTGATATACAACTCTTCCCCAGGGCTGATCGTTGTTGGGTTGAATGTGAACACACTCCTAGTGCGTAGCCCCTTTATTGTTGTCATCTTGCTCCTGCGGAATCCTGGTTGGAGTTCCCTCTCTGTGGTATTCATCTTATTATACATTAGTTGATGTTTAGTTGTACCCCATAGGGGTCTGCCCAAGATGATGTCATAGGAAGTGGCATCATCTTGGGTAAAGATAGAGCACACCACCCGCTACACAAACTGCTAAAATCTACACATTATCTGACAACCATTCCAACCCGTTTGCCACCTTTTCAAAGACTGGTGGTATTCTCGTTTCAAGTTCGTTCAACTTCCTGTCTGTACGTCGCGATGAATCACTCAAGCTCCATAGCACTTTTCTGAGCACTATTACCATGCTTGTGATCACACCTGCAGAGGCAATGAGTAGTGTTGACAGAACACCTGCGTTCTCCCTTGCCCACCTCTTGAATCTTGTGAATCGTCTTTCATCTTCACGTGTGATGAGTTTCCTTTTTGTTACTCTGTCTCTCAAGTTAAGTAAGTCACTCAACCTTGACTTCCTTTGGTATTCATTTGTTAGCATTCTTATATAGCTCAGCTTTTTAGAGTTCGTATCAACTGATGTGTCTGGCTCATTCGGGTTGAGCAGTTTCGAAAGTGTTCTATCACCTTCATCCATGAGGACGTCATAGGAAAGTTCTGACAGACCTGGGAACATTTCCTCCAATTCTTCCCTTGTTTCATTAGGTAATGGTATATCCTCCGGGTTGGTGTCCTCTTTCTGTTCTGGCACTGTCTCCTGCTTTGTTCCCTGGAGAAGTTTTCTCCTCCTCACTTCCGTCGCGTATCCTATCTCCCTGTTGATGTCGTATTCTTCGTCGGGGGTGTTAGCTTCAGTTAGCTCGTAACACAGAAACTCTAACTCTGACAATATATTGTCCGGTTCCAAGTTGCCATAGTCTGGATACAGCTTTTGTAACTGTTCCATCAGATCATCACCGTATTCCTCTTGTTCCTCCATGATTGATCTACCTTAGATAATAGTCATATATTAGAATTGAAATTGCTACAACTAGTACCCATAAGTTGGAAGCTAGCCAGGCAATTCCTTTAGCACCCCTTGATAATGCTGATGCAATGGCGTTGAGGATTGGCACAAGAATCGGAGCACCTTTTTTAGCTAAGTTGGCAAGCGCTTTTGAAACTTTACCTGTTGCTTTAGCCGCATCAACAATTGCTCCCCTAACGTGGATTAAGAGGGTTGTAATCAAACCAGCTGTCGACACCGCTACTCCAGTGAGTCCGAGCTTTTCCTTTCCAATCCATTTCATAAATTTTCGTAATCTGGAAATATTTCAACCTGGGCCTGTCTACCTACCTATAACTCCTTCTGCATGACTGTCCTATCCCTTGCTTCCCTAAGAGCTACTATTCTTTCTTCCAAATTGATGAACTCCTCTGTGTCGTCTGTTTCATCCCCCAACTCCATCGTTTTGTTGATTGTGTCCTGAAAATATTCTACTTGATTCTCAAGCGCTCCATCTTTACCAATTCTTGATTCCAGATCCATGGCGTCCGTGGGGTTAAGCACTCCTCGTAGCTCTTTATTTTCCTGAGGGGTTAGACCTGGGATATCGTCTCTGGCTACCCTCACATCTATCAATTCTATCTGTTCAAACATGCTGTCAACATCGTTGACGGTGTCCAGTTCAGCATTCCGATCTACAATTGTTGTCTCATCTCCCTCAAATGCTTCGTTTGTGTGAGATTGGGTACTGGTTGTGGACTCCTCCTTGATTCTCCTCACTAGTTCCTTGTACTCTTTCAGTGCTGGGGAATTCTTAGAGTATGTGGGGACGTTAGTTTTCCCACGTTTCATAATCTGGGTACCACTCTTGTTAATACCCCGCTCACTCCTAAACATTAACATCTCTGTGCCATCATTAAGTGTCTTGACTGATGACCTATTGATAAGTTCCCTGACGTATTTATTCCTAGGGTTGAGTACTATTTTCTCCTTCGCTTGAACAACTCTTGTGACAGCCTGCACACGTTCCACCTGGTTTTCAAAGTCTCTTTTCTTCTCTGCTGTGAGACGGTCTTTTGAGAACTTCTTCAGTTTACTAGACGGTCCTATATGTCATCCCAATTAGCTCAAATGAATCGTTGAACGCATCCATGACATCTGGAAGCAAACCGTTGGGATCCTCCACGAACTCATCACCTGGGGCTGTGGTACTTCCAGTGGGTCCTGTGATGTTTACGGTTCCTTCTCCGCCCTCAATGAAAGAGGTATGGACTGTTCCACGTTCTTCCATTCGTTTCTTCACGTATTGAAATTCGTGGTTAATGTCAGTGAGAGCTAAAGGATCCGAACCGTACTTTGTCTCCGTATTTGACCTGATTGTCAATTCGTCGAAGTTCGATAGTAGGTCGTGATAGTCCATGTCATCATATTGAGGGTAACTTCCCCTGGTCTCTTCCAACTCAATGCCATCGTAGTCTCCAGCGTCCTCCATCTCATATACTAACCTATGTTTGGACTTAATGACCCCAGCTGGTATCCAACTGTTAAACCTGTTGCTGTAACCTAACCACTTCACAAAAGCCATTCTTTTGCCTTTCACTGTCCTTCTTCTTATTACTTTCTCAATCTTGAAATCAGGTTGTCTTCTTTCAGCACTTGAAAGCTCTTGTTCATAGAACCTACCAATTATTTTAGTCTTTGATTGAGTATGTGTTCGGGTGTCCGTGGTACACTTCCGTCACAGTGAATAACTCCTCCGTGAAGTTTTCATCGTACCCCTTCACCAAAACTGATTTGTACTTTGAGATCCTAACACTTTCTCCAACATCAAACTTTGGTTTTAGTGGTTCACCTAGGTCGTGACTGAAAAGTGTCTTCCATACCTCAGTCCAATTTGTTTCATCGATACTATCCGGCCTTACTTTAATTGACCTGTTCACTGAACTGTTGTAATTATCGGTAAAGTCTTGAAGGACGTCTAACCATTTGTATGTGCTGGCACTGTAGAAGTACTTCCACATTAGTGCTTTAAGTGTTCTGTTGAATCTTTCCACAACTGCGGCCTTTTTGTCTGAGTAAGTGGAGAAAAACTCAATGTTGTATTTGTTGAGTAAGGACTTTACTTCTTTGTTGTAAAACTCTGTGCCTTTGTCAAACTGAACCAATTTTGGGTATTCCCGAAGTGATTCTTGAACTGCTCTAAACAGTTGCTAACAGCGTCCTTCATTGTTACCGCGTTTTTCCTATGCACTGGTACTGTGAACGCGTACCTACTTAGTATTTCGATGGATGTTAGAATCCGCCTGTATCCCTTGTTTTTGTCGTCGTACTTTGTCATGTCAACTAAATCCATTTGTAACTGCTCACTTAAAGTTTGGACGAACGTTTGCCTGAACTTCTGCCTATTTAACACTTGTCTGTATCTAGAGTATGTGTCCTGCTCTTTAATCCATTTTCTGGCTTGGACTTTGGTCACTTCAAGTCCGTCTGATATTGCTCTAAGGTATAGTGTCTCTGGTGTTTGGAACCCTGTCTTAGGATTGTAGTAAATAACTCGTAGTCCTTGTTCTTTCATAATATCGTTGTCCATTATATATTAACCAATGTAATCCTACTATTCAAGATACGCCTGAGGGGGTCTCCCTCAAGTGATATCACTCGAGGTACATCTCAATGAGTACCTCACCTATATCAATTGGTTTCCCGTCCTGGTCCGTCACATGGAACACAAGTTCTGAGCATGTTCCCTTAACAATCGAAGTCCTGCTCTCAACGTCAAAGTAGTCGGCTACCGAACCGAACAACGACCGGTCTGTTGGGACTGTGACGCTTGTTATTACATCGCTTGGCTTCCCCCAGCGACCAATGTTGTAGCTTTTACTTGCAAGATTACAATGGATGTTTATGAACTTGAGACCATCGTTGAAGTCAACCCTACTCTCACCACCAGTGCTGGCACCTTTTACTAACACAAGCTGTTCACCAAAACTTCTCAATCCGAGCATCTCTGACAGTTTTCTTTTGATTGTGACTTTGTGTTTTGACGTCTCTATCCAAGTCCTGGCGTTCTGATGGTAGTACGTTAATGTGACCCCACTTCTTTCCAGCTTTTCTTTCATATCATTGAACGTGTAGTATCCTGCATCCACATCTACATTCACATGTCCATCATCTGTTTCCACTACCATTATAGTTGTTTGTTTCCTGATATGGAAGAACTCCCAGAAAACCGCGACCTTTTTCACAAAAATTGAGTTGTAATTGCTTGTTAGAACTGTGTTCTGAAGTGGCACTATTGCGTGTGAACCCTTGACAAGGACCGTGAACTTCATCATATCTAACATACGTTAGGTTATGAAACGATGAGCGATATTTTTACTAAGTACATGGAACTACTCAAAAGTCCTGAAGTTCAGCGGAAGAGTAATGACGCAAGGCGGAAGGCAATCACTGAATTTAAATCAAAGTATCCGAATGCTGATATGAGTAAGTTTGAGTTTGAGGTTGACATAGATGTTAGTGGGAGTGTAACAGGTGTTTGTACCCACTTTAAGGTCGATGATGACACTTCGTACGACATCACTGGGGATGGATTCAAGAGTAACCCTGCATATGTGAAGTTTCTCACATCTTTCATTGCGACTAAAGACGGGTGGCCATTGGTTTGGGATTCACATGGTAACATACCGGCTTTCACACATTTGAGAGAACCTAAGCATGAGTGGGGAATTCACCACTACCCTACCTTCCAAAATGCTGTTAATTTGGGTTATCAGATTCATAACTTCAAGGTATACGTTTCTGACAATGATTACTTTAACTCAAAGTTCACACACATTGAACTTCATGATTGGAAAAATAAGTCAATACTCTATGAAAACAACAGGGGTACCGGTGCACTTCCGAGTGGTGTTGAGACTGACATACGCACCGTCAGCATGGACTATGTGAATGATCCATACTTTGCACAGGTGTGTTCCGCATACATCGCTACCTTCTTGTGCGGCATTTCTCTTAAGAATCTTCAGTGGAATGATCATACTCCCAAACAGATTACGTCAATAGCTAAGTACCACCTTTAACTACACCATGAGAAAGTTTACTAAGAACCCAAAGTTAATGAAAGCGTACGATCTTAGTGGGATGAGAGGTTACCTTCCAGTTAGCGTTCAGTCTTTCAATGGAGTTAGTCATGTGTAGGAACTTATGTTAAGGCTGGTTGGGTTAACTATTCAAATACAGATCACCTTCACTTCATACCGTATGATTCTAATTGTATCACATCAGCTGGAACTAACCTGTTAATGGAAAGTGTGGAAAGTTATGTTTACTCTGTACTGGGAGCTCAGGCTAAGACTAGGTGGAGCATTGTGAGTGACCAGCTTGGTAAATCTCAACAGACACAGGATGCTTACCGACAGATTGTGAACGATACGATTGTTCAGACAAATGTCAACACCACCATTACAAACATGAGAACAGCTATCAGGGATACGAATGTTGTATTGAATATGGCCATCAACCCTAACATTATACTTATTCCATCAAAGTTGATCATTCTAGAGAAACCAATACCTGGATACAATAATATACTTTCCAGTCCCACAAAAGCGACAACATTTGGGTTGAATGCCAAGCTTAACTATGTTGGGGATTAAGCAGGCTAGTCCTCCAAAGAAACAGCTGGAGAGCGGCTCTCCTACGAATCACTTTGATACTCTAGGTGATAGTACACGTAAAGTTCCTACACATGTGAAATCTAAGAGTAACCCATCTGCGAAAGCTAAGAGTAATCCACCTGTGAATACTGGTGATGCTGCCTTAGCTGGTTTTGGTTTGGGGTCCATCATAATCTACATTCTTTTTAGAATAATCTTGTAAACATTTGGTATGTTATTAAAATGACACTTTATGAGGGTTATTACGGAGGTAAAGTTGAAGTTAAAGTGACTGGTGGAAGTGGAGTTGATATGATTGGTTTTACTATGAAGGGTGACAACATAAAGATTGACGGAAATGAGATGAAAGGTTTGGGTTCACCAACGGATGACACATCTGCTGTTAATAAGAAGTGGGTTGATGATGAGATCATCAAACAAGCTGCGATTACCATTCAACCTGCTGGGTTCACTATGACTGGGGACATCAACATGTGCGGGAATGATGTTGTAAACCTAAGTGATCCCACAACTGGAAAATCTGCTGTTCACAAGGATTGGGTTGTAGGTAAACTCAATTCACCTGTTGTTAACCTTAACATTGCCAGCGACATTGATATGAAAGGTTATGAGATTAAAAAGATTGCTGCACCATCTGCTGACACCTCTGCTGTTCCCAAGGGCTGGATAACTTCAAAAACTGAGCACCTTGCGCCCACTACCGGTTTTGTCATGTCAGGTGACATAACGATGAGGAATAATAGGATCATAGGTTTATCGCCACCAATCGGTGACACTGATGCTGTGCCTAAAAAGTGGGTCACTGATCATGTAAGTGGAAGTTCTATCAGTAGTAGTGGCTTCACGATGACAGGTGATATTGACATGGGAGGTCACAGAATAACTGGCCTTCTCGATGGGTCTGGTGGTGATTCCTCCGCACTGTCAAGTAAGACGATAGACACTTGGGGTTTGCAGTTTGTGAAACGCGATGGTGGGACGTTAGCCAGTAACCTTGACGCAAACGACTTTGAGATTACGAGGGTGGCTAACCCAACAACTGATAAGTCAGCTGTTAATAAGAAGTGATTCACTGATCATGTAAGTGGAAGTACAATAATACAGGAGGATTCACGATGACAGGTAGTATTGACATGGGTGGACACACCATTGAGAAGCTTAGATTGGCTTCAGCTATTACCCACAATAGGGAGTCTGTACCTAACACGGGGTGGGTCACAGATAAGTTTATGAATGGATAGATGGTCTGGTGGAAGGTGATTTTGACATGGGTGATTCCAGTGATATTGTTAAGTTGCGTGATCCCACTAACTCTAAGGATGCTGTGAACAAGCAGTGGGTGGAAAACAACTTTGCTCGTACCATTGCTGGTGGTAAGTACGTTGAAAGCAGACATCATAAGGTGGTACAATGGACGTGGGGTTATCGTGGAGTTGCGATTGCTAATACAAAGTATCACGTGTACTGTCACGATAAAATTCCACCATCATGGAGAATCGATACTATTAACAATCTGACTAACATTAATTTGGAATCAATCACAGTTAAGTCTGACGCCCCACTTCTTACGGATATCACGAATGTGAACCTGGAACTGATTCTGCGGGTGTCGATTTATGTGAAGAAGTCTAACGGTAAATTCAGACAGCAGAAAAAGGACATTGTTCTCGGGACTATCGATCTGACGAGGCTTCAGCATTGTTACTTCCTCGGCACACATCAGAGTGATGGTGGGAGTACCACTTGTTATGTGTTCAAAGGGAACTCTGAATACTACATTGGTGGACAAGCTGAGTTGGTTGACAATGCTATGGCATGGTGTGTGATAGTCAAGCCTGAACAATCCATGCCCACTGGGAAGAGCATGGATATATCCTTCTGTTGGTCACTGTTGTATTCAGGCTCTAATGGTTGTTAGAAAAGTAACTTCATTTGGTAGTGAAGTGTTTCACAGTAGTTGAACGTGGGGGCTTGGGTTTACACAGTGTATGGAATGATGACCATGGATTGGACCAAGACTCTCAGAAATGCTTATTTTAGAACTAATTTTCTAGAATGGTAAAAATGGCTCCGAACAACGTCTAGAAAACATTTGTCGTTGTTTTAGCCGGGGTGAATCCGATGCAATAAACGGGTGACATGGGGCTGTAAGAACGGGGGAAATTGGCATTCTCAGCGGAAAAAAATATCCAGCTCCCCCAGTTCCTATACTACTTACACACAATTAATTCATGTCTGTACGCGTAGAATAATAACATGCATATCATTAATTTTCACATACAAACCCCAACCATAAGAAAGATGTAACTAGTTTTCCGCGCAGTATTATGGGCAAACAATTAAAGCTTTTAATATAATAATTGTCAGTGAAAGTACTTAGGTGCGTACAAAATAAATTCTTGATGGCCAATTGAGGTTTTCAGGTTACTAATACCACATACATGCATTAACAAACCAACTCCAACCATAACAAAGACAACCAAGACCCAACGACTAACCATTAAATTTTGATTAAATTGATAATAATTATTATTAACTAACAATTTAATCAATATTCAATGGTTAGTCAATGGTCTATTTCAAAATACACATAATTGGCAGGTATGTAGCAAAGCATTTAAGCGAATTACGCTGCCAATATATAACGCCTTCACTTCGAGTACCCTATAATTGACTATAGTGTTTCGATCATTTTAACATATTTAAAAAATGCCTAGCCGAACCAAAATCAAGTGTATGAAACAATGCAAAAGTGTGAGATATAATTTTAAAACGATAGATGAAAGTGGTGACCGGTTCCTGGTCCAGTAGTTCGACCGTATACTTGCTAATCATGCTAGATTGGCATGGCAAGACCCTGGAAATTTCCGCCTCCGAGAATTCAAAGCATATAGTAAATTCTTTCTCTCTAAGGGGAGTTGGGCTTAATTTCATGTCACACCGAATAGTGATGCACTTTTCTAATAATCAATCTGTTGTTAAAATCTGCTCACACGTTTAACCGCATTTACAGCAATAAAAATTAACAACTTTAAATATCTGACTTACATTTCCATCCGTGTAAATAAAGACAGATACAGCTCGCAAATTTCGGTGTATGAATCGTCTATTGTGTAAGAACAATACAGCCTCTCCAATTTGTGAAAGATATCTTATGCCGATTTCTACTGTACATCCAAACGCGTTAATAAAATCTTTTAAATTCCCCATATCACCAACTTCTGTGATCTGGAAAGAAATACCGTTGTTCACTATCATTATGTGCAGATTTAATTAATTAGCAAATGCCAGTTGACATTAATTATAAGTGCATGCGTCAAGGATTTTTCACCGGGAATCCGTCGTTATAGATTAATAAATGGTCAGGATCCGAAGTTTGATGGGTGCCGTACGTAACTGCAGTTACAGAATTTGCTGCAACAATGACGTACAGGAAGTTTGACCTACGCAACACGTACGACGTGTGCTCAACTGATTTATTACCAGTGCACTAATTTGAAATGAAAAAGATCGCCCACATCTTTTCTTTTGTCAAATCCTTCAAACAAACATTCCAACTGAGAATGCAGTATCTTTTCAGCATGCGTATTTACAAACAAATTAGAAGGTTCTATAAATTTGAAAGTTTGATTATGGTATTAAATTCAAGGAAATATTTCAGCATTAATTAAGATCTATGCTTACGTACGGTAGAAAAAATAATTTACTACATGAGAACCTACGTCTTTGTGCAGAAACTCAAGAGTAAAAGAATACGAAGACCATGTAGGCCCATAGTGGAAAGTTCGTCTTCGCTTTCGCAGGAGATTATCGCTGCGGAAGAGGTAGGCTACCGCAATCGCAGTTAAAGTGTTAAAGTCATCAAATGTTTGGCTCTCCTCCGACGCATTGCGCCAGTGGCGTAGCCAGACATTCACTATTTTTTGGGGGGGGAGGGGCGAAGATTCCGGAGGCATGGACCAACGGAAAATCTAGAGTCCCGGAAATGCGATTTCAAGAATTTTTGTGGTGAAATCTTGCAAAATTCCGAAGATTTTAAAATACATCGAAGACATGAATTTTCCCGGACATTTCTACTCGGAATTAAATAAATTGGAAAAGTCACCTCGAAAAACAGGAGGATAGGTCAGTGCCACCGAGATGCTGGGAGGAGAAAATCCCAATGTGATTATGATCAGAAATGTTGCATTTAAATCATTCTAGGTTCTATGAGACACCATTTCGCATTCCCAAAATTACGTTGCTTTTTTGTACGCTACAGAATAAGTCTGAGAAGAAATATTGATGCTATGATAATGCATACATGCATTTAACAGTTAAAAATCTATACTAAATAGTCCGATCCTCGGGAAGGAACGTGAGGCTCTGGGATAATCCGTTGGCGGAAGCCAGGAATCCTGGTG